CCGCTCTTGAACTTTAAAAATACACATTTATTGGGTTAATTGACTGTTGGATCACACTTTAAGCTCGTAATCTGTGTCTCGACGTGTACTCTTGTGGTTCTTCCTTGATTTTTTTTAATCAAAATGTTTTAACATTTTTATAATTCACATGTAAGTGTCGTGGTTGGTGGGTTTCCTCTTGTAAATTTCACTGCAGGCCTCTTTACGAATCATTTATATCGACAACTGGGACATTTAAATATAATTATTTCTTCTTAATAAAGAACAGAAGTTAAATTGTTAATCATCCAACAGTCATGTTGTTTCGGGGTGTAATAACCAATCAATTGTTATATATTTTTTGACTTGACGGGTGTCTAGGTTTCCTTCAAAAAATTTATTTCTCTAATTCCTTTGCTCGAAACCTATAACACTAACAATTGTAATTTTTTTTATATTATCCGATTTATAAATCGTGCTGGCTAGGAGACTAATGTTTTCGTTATTTTATACATTTTTAATAATAGAATTCATTCCGTGATTGAACTCACTCCAGCTATAATAACACGTATAAAAAAAATTTAAAGAAAGTAAAGTTATGATTATTTTTTAAAGAATTTTTTTATATTAAAATGTATTAAAATAATATTTTTAAAAAAAATTATTTTTAAATTTATCATGTTAAAACAATCAAAAACATATAAAAAACTTTATTTTTATATAAAAAAAAATTAACACATTCAAGACGTACTCTAAATGTACAATATTATCATTTATATTATCTGTGAAATGATTGGTCTACCAGTAATCTTTTATACGTAGATGATGAATAATCTAATTTCTGAATTAAAAGAAAACAACTTCAGTTCATTTGAAAAGAAAAAAAAAACATTTGAATTACTTTTGAAGGTAGAAGATTTCAGTATGTTATACTGATTATCATTGGATGTAGAGTCGGAAGTAGACGGCCTCATTGCATGCAGTAATTTTGGTCGAGACCGTGTTATGATCCAAGATTCGAATTTCGAGGAGGGTTAAAGAAGAAAAAAAACCGGGTGCATAGGCCCATATTTTATGTGACACTCTTAGCATGTGATTGGACAATAATAACATAATTTCGGTGTGCGAAAGCATCCGAGAACACTTACCGCTACCACAGAAAATTTAAGAAGAACAGTAGCATTTCGAGGCGCTTTTGCTGAGCGTAACCTTCCTCCAAGAAGCAACGCCATATCACCTAATTAGTTTTAGTCTTTTTTGCCGGTTGTTTACCTCAAATAAAAACACAGCCGTTTTGTTTTTTATACCGACTTTATTGATTTTTCAAGCTAGTTGGTTTATTAAAAATTAAGTTTAGTTAATTATTTTTTATCCTATTAATTTCTTATCTAATTTAACTAAATTAGCTCGGAACAGGGTCTCAGTCTCGAGTTTTTTTGTTAACTTGCATCTCAAAGCCTAGCGCAGCCTGGTGATTTGACCCGGCATGCAAACAATTCTAGACCTTGACCAACCTGGTTGAAAAAAAATACAAAAAGACAAAAATCTCAGGGTGACATGAGAACCCAGTCAACTCCAACTTCATCCGCTAGAAACTTGACAATCAACTTATTAATCTTTTTAACAAATAAAATAAAATTATCATTTAAATAATATTATCCTAATGTTTTTATAAAAAATGGATCGATTCAGATAAACATAAATCGACTTTTCTAACTTGTATCTCTCAACTCTTACCCTGAATCCACACATCCACGTGGAGTTATAGAACTGTAGAATTTGTTTTTCAAAAAAATTAGCATGATTAATGTAAAAGGCTTGCAGAATAACACTATTTTAAAAAATATTTAATGAAATAATATAATTTGATAATATTGTAATTTAAATTATAATAATTATAATCATATTTAAATAAATATTTTATTTTTTAAGCGTTTATCTTAATTGGTTATTTGATTATATTTAATTATATCAAGCAAGAGATTATTTAATATAAAAATTATAATTTTAAATATATTTTATAAGTCAAAATATCTTATTCAGACTGTCATTTTAAAAATAAACACAAATTAAAATTTTAGAAAGTTAACTAATAAATTTATCACAACTAAATAAAAATATATTTCAAATAAATTATATAAAGTGCTTAATATATATATTTATAGGTTAGTAGAATAGATCTAAACCCAATAAAAGACATAAACGCACCAAGTCAAAATAAAATTTCATAATAATCATGATTTTTTTATTTAATATTTGGATAACATTTAAATTTTACATAAATTTTCAGGTATTATCCTTTTTAAACTACCAAATCATCAAAAAATTATATATTAAATATCTCATAACCACTGAACCTGTTAAGCAAAAAATAACATATTTTAACCTTATCACATTTACAAATACGACATCATTGAACTATGATTTTTCACCCAGTTCTTTTTAAATTTTGTCATCTCAAAAAATGCCCAATTTATCAAAAGCTATACTATTCATGTGGATAATCTTCAAGTTTTCTCTTCTTTGTTTTTTTTTTTTTCCAAACAGTAAAGGCCAGAGATAAAGCAATGTCGGCATCATGAAGATTTTGTTGTTGTCGTCGTCTAGATTCATGGAGTGTCAGTGAGGAAACAGCTATATTAGCTGTGATACCAACCACGTGTACATCCCTTTGACCGCAAACGAGGTCGGCGTCACGTGATCGTTCACATTTTTCTCTTTAATTTGTTTTTTTATTTCTAGTTCGTGTCCGTGCAATATTTCCATATTCCTGTACGGCAGGCTTATTTTGTCTGGCTGTCTCACAACTTCCCACGTTAGCTAACAGATGGCTGTGGTGCCCTGCCGTTCATTTCCACGGATCATGGAGTTGCAAAGGAAGGGGTTTTATTCCTTGCAATCAGCCTTTACCTTGACAAGGTAAATCTTTGTTTGGAAGAAAGAATAGGCGAGGACCGCAAGTTTGGATGAGAACGACAAAAAAAAAAAAAGAAGAGGAAAATAAATTAGAGCTGAGAAAAGGCGAGAGAGACTAGTTGTAAAAAAAAATAAAATTATGTTTTAAAGGTATTATAAAATTTAGAAGATATATAAATATTATTTTATTATTTTTCTTCTAGTTTCTATCTGAATTGGAGAGAAATGTATGGTTCGTGTCATTATGCTGGGACTATGAAGAAATTAAATTAAACCTTCGGAAGACGATCAAGAAACTTACACCTACTCCATGATCTTTGCATAAAAGGCTTTGTTCGAGATACATCTTGTCCTTTTTGAAACGGAAAAGAACAAGGGTGGTAGCCTTCTTCTCATCAAATTTTTTAGCCATCACATGCTAATTAAAAAAAAAAAAACTAGATCTTGATCTTACCGACCAACAATGCAAGAACACTTTTAGAAAACAAAAACTCATAGTGTTGAAAAAGCTACCAGTATTTCAATTTTTATCTTGCTTATACGTCTCGACCTAATTTCATTAAATTTGCTGCTAGTGCAAGATATATAAGCATGCTCGGGAATAAAATAAGGCAGAGCTCTTACCTTAAAAAAGAAGATTCACATCAATCCCAAGAATGACATCTTCAAATGGTATTTTCTAAATAAAATAAAATAAAGCAAGACTAGCTGATCCGAGTTCATTGAATTTTATTCCTGATAAAAAAAAAAAACAGAAAGATGAACCATCTGTTAGTTTGCACTGGTGGTCGAATTAAGCCTAGAGATTTCTCAGTAACATGGTTTTAATTCTCCCTTTTGTTTCCTTGATCTGCTGCTACGACGTCGTATCCTCATGGGTAAATATCTGGAGCAGAAGCGCAAGTTAAAGAAGGTAAGGAAGGAATGTCTACAATGCACGAGGGTGCCTCGCTTTACTATGCCGCCATCTTTGGCGGGCCCGTAACTGCCAGGTAGCTCATGCGTTCATAAAAACAGCAGAGATGTCTTGACAGGTGGCAGCAGTGCACCCACCCAACTTAAGGCTCCCATTTCCGCATGGCTGCCACTTCCTGCTTGCCGTCCACGTGTTCCCTCACTCCTTTAGTATAAGGTCTGCAAAGACCCTGCAGGAACATGCTCGATACTTCTCAAATTTATCAAACCATGAAGAATGATCTAGACTTATCGCGATATTCCGTGATTTTTTCGCCTTGTCGATTACTTTTTAATCTCCGTTTAATTTGTTTTATCTATAATAAAAGCACATATAAAAACATGATTTTTAAAATTTTTTCGTTTTGCTATAATAATAATAATAATAATAATACTTGAATATCATAATATATTTAAAATACTAATGTATAAAATTTTACCTTACCTCTGAGAAATTCCTAAAAACAAAAATACTACAACCTTAAAGGTATTTCAACCTTGTTTTTCCAACTACTGACCTTGTAAAACCTTGATTAACATTAAATAAAATCCATAAATCACCATTAATCAATATAGTATATTATTAACACTTTATTTTACTCTCTTAAACTCAAAAATATTTATAAAAAAACAAGAAAGCAATAATAATTGTATAATTTTCAAATAATAAAACCACATCAAAATTTAAATTTATTTATTTTATTATTATCTCATGTTGCTTTGTACTTACTTAGAAAAAACTGATCCACCAAATTTATAATATTCTTTTAACAAATATAACAAGTTTGAAAGATTTATCAAAAATAACTGTGTCATGCGATTTACACGCAACATATTATTTGTTTTGAATATATAAAAAAATGAGTATTTTTTTATTTTATTTCTTAAAAGTTTTTTAATTTCTAGATAAAGAATTCTTTGAATAAAGACATCTCTGTTTGTGTGATTATTTTTACTCATCAATCCAATCACACGTTTGAAAAAAAAAAAATACCGAAAGCAAATATTTTTTTAATTATCCAATCAAATGGTACGTGTGGATAATAAATCAAGCAAGATGAAACGACGCAGATTTTATGACAAGCGTCTAATTCATCTCCTCAATATTAATTTCGTTTTAAAAATAATATTTTAATTAAACATAAGTGGTTGTTTTAAGAAACCCATATCGATCAATAAAAAAACAATACGACTTCTTCTAGGAGCACACTGGTTCGTAAAAACAACATGAAAGGCGTCTCCTTTCTTTTTTCTTTTTTTTTATGTGCACAGGCTTTTCAAGAAGGAAAATTGTCCCGGGGGAAAAAACAAAAAAGGGTACCTTCTTAGTCTTGTGCTGACATGAAGATGTGATTAAATATTTGAAATACCACCATGATCAAGATGAAACAGCATAATTTCTTTTAAGAGCATGGTAGCTCAATAAAACATAAAAAATATTCCTTCATTCTATTTTTGTGTCGACTTTATGTTAAAAAAATGCTATGTTATTTATAATTAATCATGGCACAACAGGTTTACACCAAGATATTTGATTATTTAAAGAAGTCACAATCCAAAACACCGGACCGGACATATGCTTTAATAAAGGCTGTCTTTAATTTATTGTAAAATAATAGTTTAACTGTAAAAAAAAATAAAAAAATTATCCGCTCATTTAGAGGATAAACAATTGTAACTGAAAATAAAGAATTAAGTTCTTGAGCAGAGGCACCACGTGTGCCGTAATTATAACACCTTATTTTAAATTTCGCAATGCTTTTTATGACACGACACTAAATTTTTGCGTAGTTATTCTTTTTAAAAAAACTGGAATTTGTTTTAAAAAAAAAACACGGGAACAAAAGAAGTTGAAACATCTAAACAAAATAAAATAAGTAATAAAAAAATTACATATAAAAACACTGATATCCAATGGAAATTTCTGGAAACGATGTCTTGCAATTTTTTTTATTGCTATAAAAAATATTTTTATCAATGAGGCTTCATGGCATGATTTTTTCCCTTCATATTTTACGAGTTATTGATTTTTCTTGGTTTTTCAAAATTTTCATTGTTTTTAATTTTTTAAATTTTTCTAGGATTTTTTTTTAAAGGTAACCTTCTTATTTTTTAAATATCTTTAAAATTAAATTCTCTCTTCGTGATTGGTGGGTATTTTTGTACAGAAAAATGTTAAATAGAAAACACGGGAGAAGATGGAAAAAATAAAGTAATTATCCGATTTTTTAATAGGGTGAATTATATATATATAAAAAAGAAGCTGTGCATGGGGTCATCCATTGAAAATGAAGTTTTCAATTCCAATGAAAATGATATACAAAAAGGTTGAAAAGATCTCCAATTTCCGTTCTCGTTCAGATTTGTTCCGAGTGCTTGAAACCTTGGAAAAAAAAAATAAAAAAAATACACAATTATTATATGTTCCATTTCTACAAGCATGCAGAGTGACAATTAACATTTGTTGATTTAAAAACTAGGTGGTCCCACAGTCACGAGATGCACACCGATTAACCTCAGATGCGTGATAACTACCTCAAAATATCCAATGGTCCGAAAGCAGCGAGCAGCCTGTTTCGACAAACAACGAGCAATGATAGAATCACAAGGCTGTAACATCTGTCTCCACAACACTCACTATCCAACAGATCACTACTAAAGGAACCCATCGATTATAACTTAGATCAACGGTGGAAAAATCGCTGTAACACTCACATCAGACATTTTCAAAGTCTTAAGATGTAATCCCTTACTGTAACCACCGTTAAAAAATAGCAGGACGGTAGATATTTTCATTTATCAATACCTAACCACAGTCAGGTTAACCTAACCATGGTTATATCAAGCAGTTTATAATCCTCGATAACCATGCCATCAACTACTCATTCCCCCACTTTCTTCCATTGCCGCAAATAATGTCCAAAAACTCCACACAATGATGATGATCGGAGAACTCTCTCATCACCGTTCGAATCCCACCGTTCAAATCCCTCAATGGGACCCATACGAAGACCAAACAACGACGTCTCCCTCGCTGTCCCCAATCCCGACTTCTCCATTCACCAACTTCAACGCCCTCGATTCCCTAACGTCGCTCCACCGTTACCTTCCGTCAAACGATCCAGACCCTTCTTTTGAAGACGAACTAGATTTACCAGTGGACGCTTTCTCATGCGATCACTTCCGTATGTACGAGTTCAAAGTGAAAAGGTGTGCACGTGGCCGGTCACATGACTGGACTGAGTGTCCGTATGCACATCCTGGCGAGAAAGCGCGGCGCAGGGACCCAAGAAGGTATCATTACTCTGGAACGGCCTGCCCGGAGTTTAGGAAAGGTGGCTGCAAGAAAGGGGATGCTTGCGAGTTTGCTCACGGTGTTTTTGAGTGCTGGCTCCATCCGGCTCGTTACCGCACTCAGCCGTGCAAGGATGGACCCGCTTGTCGCCGCAGGGTCTGTTTTTTTGCTCACACTCCGGAACAGCTCAGAATTCTTCCCCAGCAGAGTCCCAAGGGAAATGGATCTGGGTCTGGACTCGGGTCGGGGGATTATGATTTTGGGTCTCCCGTTATACATCCTTTTGACTCCTACATGAGTAAAGCTGGGGTTTTTGTTTCTTCTCCGACTTCGATTTTGACTTCACCGCCAGCTTCTCCGCCATCTGACTCGCCACCAATGTCTCCAGTTAGTCCACAAGTGATTGGCGGCTCTGGACCCGGATCCATAAATTCCATGAGTGCGCTTCTTGCATCGATGCGGGGATTGCAGGTTGGGAAGGCGAAAATGGGATGTCCTGTTGGTTCCTGGGGAGTCCAATCCGGGTTTAGATTCGGGTCTCCGCGAGGGTCATCACTGCGACCCGGTTTCTGTAGCCTGCCTTCAACTCCTACTAGAACATTGGCAAGTCGGTCTGGACTTGGTCAGTTGGATATCTGGGGAGATGGGGTCACTTGTGAGGAAGAGCCCGCTATGGAGAGGGTGGAGTCTGGGAGAGATTTAAGGGCAAAGATCTATGCCAAGCTAAGTAAAGAGAACTCGGTGGACCGTGATCGAGTTGACTCAGGTGTTTCGGGTCCGGATGTTGGGTGGGTTTCTGAGTTGGTGAAGTGAAATGGAGGAAGAAGTTTCCGATTTTTTTTAATTATTCTGACTTTTGTGAATATGAAGATGGTGATTTGGTGTGTAAATACGATGCTGTAGAGGGGCTGAGAGAGATACCAATAGTCTCTCCGTTTTTGAGGCATTTTGGGAGGAGAAAAAAAAAGATGCAAGCCTTTTCTTGTAAAGCAATAAATGAAGTGTTTCGTAGGGTTCTACTGGAGGACGGGTGGCGGTTTGTTCGTCAAACTTCTTAAAGATTGTACTTTGAATGGTCATTTTGTCTAATTTTATCGGATATAATTACATCTTTGTAAGTAACCTTATGTTTATTATTCTAATCAATGTAATGTTATATTTCAAGTTGAATTTCGAGTGATCTTTTTTGTCCTTGCCTTCCTGTGTTAAGATTTCAAGTCCAAGATCAGAATACTACCTAATTTTCTCTGGTGTGAGAAGTGAAACTGGAGTGGTCAGTTATTTGCCTTTTTCCGGGTAGATGTTCATTTTGTGTTTTGCTTGAAACAAAACCAGAGGGGGGCTTATGTGCCAGCTAAAATTCTCTTTGTTTTTATCTAAAAGTGATGATTTGTCTTCATGCTTGGATCCTTGTTTTGAAGATCTTGTATATCCTTGTGGAATTGAGACGGCGATATGAGAGGGAAGGGTTCAAGCTCGATGCTCACTCGGAGTGATTGTTCCCGCTGATCAAGGGTTTGTGTCATTGTGACCTGGTCTGATCATATTTTCTGTTTATGATCTTTCACGTCAGTGATCTCTTCACCCTTTATAGCCATAATCCACAGTGTCCAGGTTTATGATGGGTTTCCAGCATTGTTATCGATTAAATTAAAAGCAACATCAATTGATTTTGATTAATTAATTAATTAGTCCCGTTGCATTATCTTCTACATTGGGTCATGTCCAATAAGATTAAGATGGTTGACGTGGATGTTAATGAACAGATAGGAAGCCGTCCTTATCTGCTGAAAATCTTTAAAGTTATCTCCTCAAAGCCACTTGTAATTGACCAAGTTGCCA